CAAGGATAGCATCATAGTCAAAGTCAAAGATAGCAACTCCAGACCTAAGCGGCTCTGCCCAGCGGGGGCGCTCGGCCTTGGCACCAAACTCTGCGCGCCAAGCGTCGTCTAGGCGGGAGAAGCAGCGGTGTTGAGTGTGAGGCTTCCCGCATGTCTGTTTAGCACGGTCACCCATGCGAATGATATACGGGCAGCTAACACTACCCCCAGACGCCCCACGCTGAGCAAACCACTCACGAAGCTGCTAGGGCGAAGGGGTCTCGCTCCGACGCTGCTGGTGCTGCCGCTGGCCACCACCAGAACCTCCCCTCTGAACAGCTCCACCCTGACTGCCACCACTCCCACCGCCGCCACTACCGCCACTCCCACCGCTGCCACCACCAGAACCTCCCCTCTGAACAGCTCCACCCCGACTGCCACCACTCCCACTGCCGCCACTACCGCCACTCCCACCGTTGCCACTACCTCCACTGCTTCCCCCACCACCACCCCCGCTTCCACCTCCACCACCCCTGCCACCCTTGCCCTTGTTGCTGCGGCGCTTTCCATTAGCAGAAGCAGCCCCGACATCCTCAGCACCAAGGACGTCAACAGCAGCAGCAGAGGCGTAGGAGGGGGCAAGGGGGGAGGGGGAACACCCCTCAAAGAAGGGCGTGCGAGGAGTGCCACGAGCGGCACCTACAGCGACTACACTAGTCTCAGCTGCAAGGAGGTGCTGTTCGAGCAGGTCGACAGTGAGGTCTGTGGGGTCAAGTGCGAGAAAGTGGTCCCTGACAGCGCGAAGAGAGTCAGGGAGGCGGGTGACTATGAAGTAGAGAGTGATGTACATCGGGGGCGGGTTCCTGTCAAGGAACTCTACCGGGAGGGCAGCGCGGTAGCGAGCGTCGCTAGTGCAAATGTGGCTAACGAGGTCCTCTACTGTGGCAAAGGCGGACAGCTCGGGAAACAGGTAGGGCAGTAGAAGACGGCCTAGAGCAGCAGTGGCAGGGGAGGAGTAACGGGCGACTACAGCGTCGTACAGTGCTTTAGCAGTCTTGTACTGTCCGAAGTGAGCGCATTCAGCTAACGGCAGGTGGTTGCGAATGGCTAAGCGAGCAGCAGCGTCACGAGTAAGCCACTGTGAGCGAGTCGCACTGTCAGCTGTAGCGGGAGGGGCGAGAGAGGCTCCAAACGTGTGGTCAAACAACGAAACGCTGTCTCTAGAGTCGCTCAGTAGGTACAGCTGTAAGTCGTCGAGCCACGTATTGAACTGGATTGGACGGCCCTCATGATCGAACGCGAGTACACGGAGAGAAGCCATAGCGGGCAGAGCAAGGTGGCGCGCTACCAGCAGAGTAGCACGCAGGCAGGGCAGGGCAGCGCACAGCTAGGGTTGCTTGCAGCAGGGCGGGCAGGAGCCGGGCGGTGCAAGTAGCAGGGCGGGCAGCAAAGGGGCGGCGAGCGGTTTAGGCCCTCCTCACTTCGCAAACGCAGTCCGCTTCAGGCTAGGCCTCCCCTTCTCTACACCCGCGAAGTGTGACTGCTCTAAGCACGTTGAAATCACTGACCCACGGCTGCCGAATCACCTCTTCCGCTGCGGGACAGGCAAGCACAGGATTAATACTCACAATGAACTCTGTGACGCTTGCATCTCGATGGCAGAGGACGCCGGCTTCATAGTTCATGGAGAATCTGCAGCATACTCCCCGGTTGAAGAGCAAACGGCAGACCTGACACTACGTGATAAGAGTTCGGGGGCGGTGTACATCTGTGACGTCACCATCACCGACCCGATCAGCACCAGGGACCCACAAGCCACCAAGGGAAGGGGTTGGGCGGCCAGGGAGCAAGCCGACAAGAAGATCAGCCATTACGCCAGCCGCCCTGACACAGTTGCCTTTTTCCCCTTGGCGGTTGAGACGTATGGGTGCCCGTGCGCGGAGGTCCCACAGTTTCTGAAGCTCTTGGCGGAAACGGCTGCTCGGCGGCACTTCAACGCCCAACCACACTCATTCCATGCAGCTAGGTTCCTTCATCTCTTCAGGCAACGGTGGTCCTGTGCTCTGCAAAGAGCGCAGTCGGTGGGTTACCTTATTAAGTCCAGTCAGGCGGCAGTAGCATAAAATCCCCCTGTGGGGGGGGTGCAGGGAGAATTCCACCTTGGGGATAGCTGTGTAGTACTAGAGCCTCTCATGGAGGTGTAGATAGGCATTTATGGGCGGATAGATAAGTTGTTTAGCTCTTTGTTTATGTGTTTGCTTGTTCCCATCCCTAGCATCTACACCCTGCATGTTTGTATTCCTTGATACATCAATACATGGACCATTAGAGAGAGAGAGAGAGAGAGAGAGAGAGAGAGAGAGAGAGAGAGAGAGAGAGAGAGAAGGATGGGGAGGAAGAGAGAGAGAGAGAGAGAGAGAGAGAGAGAAGGATGGGGAGGAAGAGAGAGAGAGAGAGAGAGAGAGAGAGAGAGAGAGAGAGAGAGAGAGAGAAGGTGTCAATCAGATAAGCCAGAATCCTAGCCCCGACCTGGCTCATTACTGTATTACGGTACCAGGCCCTCAGATTCACTTTTAGGGACGTTGATGCATCAGGGTCTTTGTGAAAAAAAGCCTGAATTTTCAGGGTTCCTAAAAAAAAAGCCTGAATTTTCAGGGTTCCGAAAAACAAAAGCCTGAATTTTCAATCACATCATGCAATTGTGCAAGAGAGTAGCTTTTATGAACATGTTAGTAGAGGGATTTGAACCAGAAACCTTACCATTCGGTATCTACTTCGCTTACCACTAAGCGTTCATCGGGTCAGCAATCAGTATTTTTTTAAACAAGATTTTATTATGTGGAAATGTTGGTTATTGTCTCGGGTGTTTTACGGGAAGGATTCGGAATGTGCATTCAGTGTACACTTCGATAAAAGTCTGAAACATCAGTGTTAGCTATGAAGTAAAGGCTGAAAAAATCAGTGTCACAAAAATCTCAACACTGAAAATTCAGTGTAGGTACACAAAACTAGGCTGAAAATCAGGAATTTCAGGGGAAAATTCCTGATATCGTAGGGCCTGTACGGTACCCATACCCTGCCTGCACCATAGTTTTAATCATGCCTTCTGTGTCATGCAGATGCAGTGCTGTCAAACACCTCAAGAACAAAACAAAGGACGATGTTCAGCCCACCAAATTGGTATATAAAAACAAACCGACAGACATATACAAAAAGAATAAAAGTAACAGCCCACCAAGGTTGTTTCACACTCAAAAGAAAGGAAAGATGTTCGGCCAACTAAAAACCTGTAAACAGCCCACCAAACTAGAAAACAGCCCACTAAAACACAGAAACGATACTACTCTGATGCACACCCCAAAGGAGGGAATGAAACCAACGAGTCAAAAGGTATTGGCCTCCCGAAGATTTTGGGCCCCCTGTGGACCATGAAAGCTCTCTTCTTTCTCCTGCTGGTGCACCTTCACTTCTTTCCTTCAACTTGACTCGAGGTCTTCATTATGCCGCCCTTCAGCCACACCTTTCCCAGGAAGGGCCCAGCAAACTCAAGCTCGCACTCCTGCATACAAAGGACAATGAATGGCAGAAAATGGGCCACAGAACCAGCACAGCAAGATACACGTATAAGAGTCCCGATGATAGAACACGAGGTAAGTAAAAGGGCAAAGAGATTGAAGTGTGTGGAGGAAAAGGTGGGGGAGAAAGGGAAATTGGTGGCGGCATGTGGGAGATAGATGGTACGAAGCAGGGGGGAGGGGAAAGGAAGGGGTGAGAGAGAAGGGGTGAGGGTGGAGAGAGGAGAGGGGGAGGAGGGGGGGGGAGGGAAACAGGTTATGTACTTCCAATCGCACGTACCTATTACGGAGCCCAGTATTCAATGCCCCCTTGTTTACGGGTGTAATCTACGTTGGCAGCAGTAAGACACGTGCTGCAGTCCACCACGGATAACCAGGCAGAGCTCCGGCAGTGCACCATGAGACACTCGAGCGTGCTTGGGCCTGCAAGGAAGTTGCAACACCAATAGGTACGAAGCCCTTAGGAGTCAGGACCATAGATTTGGTAAGAAACAAGGTATGGTGCTACTAGCCCTGGGGAGGAAGAGAGGGAGAGAGAGGGGGCGAGAGAGGAGAAGGTGCAAGAAAAGGGCGAGAGAGAGGGAGAATAGGCGAGAGAGGGGGGGCGAGAGAGGGAGAAGGGGCAAGAGAGGGGGCGAGGGAGAGAGAGAGAAGGGGCGAGAGGGAGGGCGAGAGAGAGGGGGGGGGAGAGAGGACATAAAGAGCGAATGCGCAATTGTAGGGTGGCAGATTGCACTTACAAGTTCCAATTCCACCGATATTCATACATACTTCACCGGAACCACAACGAATGACTGCGCATGTTCCTGGAGAGAGAGAGAAGGGGGAGAGAGAGTGAGAGAGGGAGAGAGAGAGGGAGAGAGAAGAGAGAAAGAGAGACAGGAGGGGGAGAGGGCGAGGAAAGTGAACTACTATAACAGGGAAATGAAAGTGAACATGAGTGCTTTGCAGAAATGGAGGAATTTAACAAACAAGCACAGTACGCACCTGTGCAAATGCCATTGTGCAGTACATATCCTGGTGCACATTTACAGACTGCGCCACCACTCGTGTCGACACATACTTCAGATTCGCTATTACAAGGGTCGGAGGCGCATGTTCCTGGCAGAAGCGAGGGAGAATGGAAAGTATATTTGAGAGTGGGGTACGCCATGTACGCCATGTGGGGTACATGCGCCCTCAACCCTTTGTAGTAGTTTTGAGAGTCGCATACAAAGAGCTGGACAGACCATGTAGAGAGATGGGTGGATCCATTCAAATTAAGACAGCATGAGCGTGCAGGAAGAATGTGAGGCAGACAAAGACACACATACCTTGACAATTCGGCGGCGCGCCTGTGTATTCGGGCTCCCTGCAAACGCATTGTCCCCCGTGATCCGTTTCTTTGCAAAGTTCGAAGGGTCCACACTTCGTGAATATGCATTGCGCTGGCAGTAGGAGAATTCA